GGCGGGGCGGCCGGGCGGGCCCAGGTGGCCGCAGGGTGCCCGGCCCCGCCCCCCGGGGGGGTAGAAATGGAGCGCGGTGATTGTGGCGTGAGGATTCGCGACACGCGACCTGCGACGCCGAGGCTGCGCGGCTCTGCTCGGCTCGGACGTGCCGGACTCGCACTCAGCCCCGGTGCACGGATCGGATCCCGAAGGAGATGGAGCGCGAGGACCAGTGGCGGGTGGCCCCGCGCCCGGCCGCGGAGGTGGGTCGGGCGTGGGCCGGGGCTGGGCGGGCGGGCGGCCGGGCAGAGGCTGCGGGAGGGGAGGGAGGGAAGGAGGGGAGCTGGGGCTTTAGGGTTCGAGGGAGGGTGTGGGGAAGGATGCTAGATCCTGTGTCCTCATGTAGGATGTAAACTGTAATTGAAAAACAGGGCAGTGTTTCTGCAACATGGACCTTGCCGTCTATATCTATCTATCTATCTATCTATCTATCTATCTATCTATCATCTAATAAAAATCACGTTTATTCAGTGAGTACTCACTGGGCCTTAGCCAGGCGCTGGGGTAGAAGGTTCCAGGCAGCTTCCAGGAGAGGGACTTGCCTACCCAGGAAAGAAGGCGAAGTTAGGAAGTCGGTGGGGTGTGTTCGGGGAGCAAAACATACTCACAGAAGCCCTACCAAGTGCCAGGCTTTCCCAGAACACGGGGATGCATGGTGAGCTTTCCGTAAGACACGGTACCACTTTATTGATAAGTCACCAAATGGCTCAAATTTGTTCTGTCTTGTTTGCCACCGTGTCCCTAGTTCCCCCTCAAAACTGTGCCTGGGCCACAGGAGCAAATAGTGGTCGGGTTTGGGACCAGGAGAGAGAGCTGCGGGTTGGGTCTGGGACTGGAGACCTGACACCAGGCCGCATGCCCACGTTGGAGGAAGGGAAAGATGGGCTGTGAGACCCGTCCAGAGCGTGGCCCAGGGATCCCGGCACACCACTGAGGGCGTGCAGGCCTTGAGCTGGTTATTGCAAAATCAGGAGGAACCCGCTGATGAGGTGAACCCCTGTAAGATCTGCATATTTAAAAAGAGTGCCTCGGCAGCTGTAGGCAGAATTCAAGGCGACAGTTAGAAAGCCATTGTGATCGTCCAAGTACAATGGAAATGGCGGCCTCGCCGGGAAGGAGACAGTGGAGAGGGAGGTCCCGGGGCGGCTCTGCAGGTGGACACAACAATTTCTCCCTGAGGGTGACTTGGGGGGTGGGTAAGGCTAGTCCGGAGTTTTGGACACTGTCCAAAAGGCCTAAGCTGGAGGCAGCTGGAGGCCTAAGCTGTAGCAGCTGGAGGAGTCTGGGGAGCTGTGCCCTGGAGCTACTGTGTAAAGAATAGTTGGAATATAAAGAGAAATGCGTCATTAGCATGAGAAAGATGGCCCAGCAGAGGTGACAGAGGAGGAGGGCCAGGCCGAAGGGAAGGGGGGAGCCAGGCCCGGGAGTCCAGTGTTTTCGCCATGCATGTTCCGGAGTTGCACGTTGTGAGGCCCAGGGAAGGAAACACGTCAAGAAGGGTGGGCCCTTAATCTCAGCCACTGCTGAGAGGCCAAGCAAAGAGCAGTCCAGGCGGCTTTGGGCTCAGTGATTGGAGGTCATCAGTGACTTCAGGCGCGTTGGCTCTGTGGATCGACATGGGGAATTTGGGGGAATAATAACGAAGGGAGTGGTAAACGGGAGTTTAGACTCTTCCCAAGAAGTCTGCCTGTGAAGGCGAACAAAAACCAAAGAAAGCCTAAGCTCAGTGGCTAGATGGGAGATGTTCGATTCCGGTCAAGGGCATGTACCTTGGTTGCGGGCACATCCCCAATGGGGGGTGTGCAAGAGGCAGCTGATCAATGGTTCTCTCTCATCGATGTTTCTGACTCTCTGTCCCTCTCTCTTCCTCTCTATAAAAAAATCAATAAAATATATTTAAAAAAACAAAACAAAGAGGGCCGATACTGAGAGTGAGGGGAAAGGGGATGAACATCTCCCAGTGCCACCCAATAGGCCTTTATCTTGGGCTTATTGTGTATGTGCTTACTTACTCTAGTTGCTGAGCATAGCGTAGAGATTAAAACAGGATCTCCCTAACATTTGAAGGGTTTTTAAGTCCCCCCCTCCATCGTCAAAACATTATTAAATCTATAGAAATGAATGACAATTGGAATTACCGGGGGTAGGTCTTAAAACTTCACTGGATTCTTGATTTTTTGGTAAGACTGCCTCATGGGTATAGTAAGCTTCATCTCACATTACATCTGGCTCTCCACACTCGGTGACTCGAGGCTTGGCCTTGAACTCTGAGGTAGGGAAAAGCCTGATCTCTATTCAAGCTTATCTTTCACCTTGCAGTCAGAACATAATCCGTGTATTGTTACCTTTGATGCACCCTAATATCCCACTTCCCCACCAAGTATTGTATTTACCTATTGGTTTCACCAAACACTGATTTTCCCCCAATCAAGTTTCATTAGGGGTTGTAAAACAATGATTTTGCAATTCCACCATTCCTTCTACATTTATTAGTTTGTGTCCTTCTGCAAAGTAGGATTTTTCTTAAACAACTAGAATCATTTGGTGATTTCAAAATAACAGTTACCTTCCGGAATGACAAAATACTTTATTGTTCCACTTCAGTTTACATGTCTGAAGCTGGGATAGGAGCTGAACCTTTGTCACTTTTGGCTCATGAATTTTCACAGAGTTCTTTTTTTTCCTGATTAATCTTTTTTTCATGATCCAGATTTACGTCTTATAGAATGTTCCCTTTTCCTAGATTTATCAGATTACATTCTCCTGGTGTCATTTAGCTTGATACCATTTTAATTTATATTGAAATAAACAATCATTATTTTTGATTCTCAAGCTTTCACAAATTTGGCCAGTGTCTTTTTTAAAAAAATGTTTTTTTTAAATTGTGGTAAAATCTACGCCATACAAAAATATCATTATAGCCATGTTTAAGTGTCTATAGTTTGGTGGCATTAAGCACATTTGACATTTTATTGGATAACCATCACCACCATCTATCTCTAGAACTTCTTTCATCTTCCCAAACTGAAACCCCCTAACCATTCAACAGTGACTTCCCAACCCCCTCACCTCCCAGTCTTTGGCAACCACCATTCCACTTTCTGTCTCTTTGGATTTGACTTAAGTACTTCATGTAAATGGGATTATACGTTATTTGTCCTTTTGTGACTGATTTATTTTTATTTAGCATAATCTCTTCACTGTTCATTCAAGTTAAAGCTGCCATCAGAATTTCCTTCCATTTTAAGGCTGAATAATATTCTATTGAATGGATATACCACATTTGTTTGTCCATTCATCATTTGATGGACACTTGGGTTACTTCCACATTTTGGCTATTGTGAAAAATGCTGCTCTGAGCACAGGGGTATGAATATCTGTTCCCGCTGCTGCTTTCAATTCTTATAGGTATACTAGAGGCCCGGTGCACAAAATTCATGCAAGAGTAGGCCTTCCTTCCCCTGGCTGCCAGCACTGGCTTCCCTCCGGCACCTGGGACCTGAGCTTCCCTCGAAGCCATGGCTCCGCTCTAACCACTGAGTCAAACTGGCTGAAGCCTCTATTCTTTTTTTTTTTTTTTTTTTTAATATATTTTATTGATTTTGTACAGAGAGGAAGGGAGAGAGATAGAGAGTTAGAAACATCGATGAGAGAGAGTCATCGATCAGTTGCCTCTTGCACACCCCCTATTGGGGATGTGCCCGCATCCAAGGTACATGCCCTTGACCGGAATCGAACCCTGGACCCTTCAGTCCCCAAGCCGACGCTCTATCCATTGAGCCAAACCGGTCTTGGCTGAAGCCTCTATTCTTACCTTTGTGGTTTTCTGCACCCATCCCGCTGGTTTGGGTTGTTCTTTCATCCTTATACTTACATGTAATCGGGAGCTTGAGGGTTTTCTCAGAGTTCTGTTGAAGGTGTAGCTTGTGGAATATTTTATTTACTGTCAAGGAGGCGAAGTGGCAGTCATTAAGCTTCCATCATACTATCAGCCAGACCTGCATTTAGAAAAGCCGGAGCTGGAGCCCTGGCCAGGTGTCTGTTAGTTAGTGTGTCCTCCCTGCACTAAAAGGTTCAGGCACAAGGGGGAGGCAATCCATCAATGTTTCTTTCTCACATTGCTGTTCTGTCTGTCACTCCCTTCTCTCTCTAAAGTCAATAAAAAACAAAAACAAATAACATAACATAGGAGAGAACTATCCTATCTAATAAAAGAGTAATATGCAGCCGAAACTGATTTGGCTCAATGGTAGAGGGTTGGTCTTCGGACTGAAAGGTCCCAGGTTCAATTCCGGTCAGGGGCATGTACGTTGGTTGCGGGCACATTCCCTGTAGGGGGTGTGCAGGAGGCAGCTGGTCGATGTTTCTCTCTCATTGACATTAAGAGTAATATGCAGATTGACCATCATTCCAACACACAAGATGGCTGCCCCATGTGGTTAAAGATCCTGCCCCCATGTGGACACAAGAATGCCAGTAGGGGAGGGCAGTTGGGAGGCAATCAACCCTGCAGGGGAGGGCAGTTAGGGGTGACCAGGCTGGCAGAGGAAGGAAGTTGGGGGCAAACAGGTTGGCAGGGGAGCAGTTAGACATCAATCAGGCTGGCATGGGAGTGGTTAGGGGATGATCAGACTGGCAGGCAGAAGCAGTTAGAGGCAATCAAGAAGGCAGGTAATTAAACGGGCAGTTGAACATCCCTTGAAGGGTCCCAGATTGGAGAGGGTGCAGGCTGGGCTGAGGGACACCCCCTAGTTCCCCACACCAAATTTCGTGCACCAGGCCTCTAGTACAAAAAAGGAAAGCCCAGGCTGGAGAATGGCCTGGTGCAGGATAATTCTGAGAGAGATGATGGGGGCCTGGATCTGGAGGTGGTCTAGAGTTGGGAGGAACAAATGGAACTGTAATGGGAGCTAGGATTCACCTCACCTGACTCTCCCTCTCTCTCCAAGGATACTGACATGTGTGACTCAGACATGTCTCCATCACCCGAAAGCAGTGGAGTGCACACCTCTTGGAACCATGACCCCTCAGGCAATCAACACTTCCTTCAGAGTCCACAGCTGGAGAGGATGCCCTTGGTTCCTGCTCCGGAGCCCAGGCAGAGTGCAGGTGGAATGGGGCCACAGTTCAATGTGTTGCTGCGTGAACATCGTGTGAACTATTGCCCCCGAGTGACTTTCCCTTCTTCCCAAATTGTTTACTATCAGAGAGAGTCTCCCTCTCAACCAGCAATGCCTCATGCTTTCAATGGGTCCCAGATGTCCTTTGGAGAGCCCAGTATCCCAGGGATGGCCATGGTCTTTGGTGGAAATCTGAACAGGCCCCCCAATGGACCACCAGTCACAAGGCCCCACATGATGACACCAACCATGCAGTATTCTGGCCACCCTACAGTACCTTCTAATGGAGACTCTCTAACACCTACAATGTCACTGCCTGCCCCTGTGCCTTCTGTTGGGGGCCAGGCTGGGCTTCCCCCTTTGGCTCAGATGTTGCCCCCTAGAGATCCCCACAACAGTGGCATGCCCCCAGATGGCGCCCCGTCATTGCAGAGGTTTGGATCCCAGGGCTCTTTTGTGAGCCAGCCAGCCTCCCAGGAAAACCCCTTCCTACCCGAGCAACCTACACCTGCGCCACAAGGAGCAGAGCAGGATTTCGGGGCCCCAGAGAGGGCTGACAAGAGCAAGTCCCCAATTTCAAGGCCTTTCCGCTGTGACTATGAGAACTGCGGGAAAGCTTACACCAAGCGCTCTCACCTCCTGAGTCACCTCCGCAAACACACAGGTGAGTGAGGTGTCAGGTAGGTGGGGTGGAAGGGAGAGTCTCTGGGCTTTGCTGGTTTGTAATGGTTGGTGATTAGCCTGTCTTCCTTTACTTTTGGGACCAAGCTATCCTGTCCTCACCGACCTGCTTTCCCACAGTCCAGTGCGACTGTGTCAGATGATGGGGACTGCTGATTGTGTTGTCTCTTCACTTTTTTTTTAAAATATATTTTATTGATTTTTTTTACAGAGAGGAAGGGAGAGAGATAGAGAGCTAAAAAAGTCAATGAGAGAGAAACATCGACCAGCTGCCTCTTGCACACCCCCTACCGGGGATGTGCCCATAACCAACGTACATGCCCTTGCCCGGAATCGAACCTGGACCTTTCAGTCTGTAGACCGCAGCTCTATCCACTGTGCCAAACCGGCTTCGGCTCTTCACTGTTTTTCCTATTCATTCCTCAATCATGGCTGCTCTTCCTCAGACCCCTTCCTTCCCGCCTGCGGGCCTAAACTCCTCTGCTTAATTCCTTCTCTCCCTTGTCCCTTTCCCTCCCCAGGTGAGAGGCCCTATAAATGTGAGTGGGGAGGTTGTTCCTGGTCTTTCTCCCGCTCTGATGAGCTTGGACGGCATATGCGGATACACACCAAACACCGGCCACACAAATGTGAGCATTGCGGCCGGCAGTTCATGAGGTCTGACCATCTCAGGCAACACCTCAGGACTCATCAGCGGGCGCCGAAATCCCCCAGTCCACAGGCGGACGACGAAGAGAGAGCTGGTCCTTCTTCTGCTCCTGATCTTTAGGTCAACCTCCTCTTCCTTTCATTTTGGCTTCTCCACGCAGATCCTGCGTGCCTCTGACCAGCTAGTCACTTCAGTAGGTTTAGGCTTATTTGCAGACCGAGAAAGATTACCAGGCAGTGTTCAATGAAGCCCATCGGAGCTGGACCCATCAGGGACTCTTCAAGGACTGTCTTGGATGCCCTCACCTCTTTGGGGGCCAACTACTGTCGCCGAGTTTAGCTTCATGGAAAGATGAAGCCCAGGAGAGATGGGGAGCTCTTTATGTCGCTCCTCAACTTGAAACTCCTCAGTGATTCTCCTTTGCCTGCTATGAAAAATCCAAGATTCTTAACTTGGCCTTCCACAGTTTCCAGAGCCAGGCTATGTTCAAATCCTGAATATGCCGCTTACTAGCCATGAGACCTTGGCATAGGTCTTCTAAGTACGGTGAGTGAGGAAAAAATACTATTGGACTGTTTGAGACACATCTTATGTTTTGACTCAGATTCTATCCAGAACTGGACACCCACATGCCCAGAGTGTACCTCCTCCCAGAGGTACTTCCAGACTTGGATGGAATGCCCCACCACGGGGCCTGGGACCTGGCATGGCAGGTAGCCACTGGCAACACAGAAGCCTGGGGGAGTTCACCCTCTTGGGTAACATTTGACGAATGGGAGTTGGGAGAGACCAAAGCAGACAGAGTCCCTCTTCTTTCCTCCCTTCCCCGGATTGCTGCGAGACACTGTCTCTCCGAACAGTGCGGCCAGTGGGGAGATGTCCCAAGCAGCCGGTGAGCACACCTGCTGTGCTTCGAGGCTTGTAAAGCAGGACCTACCCGCTCTCGCCTTGCTTTCCTCCCACTCTGTGCCTTGGGTTTACGCCATCCAAATAAAATATTAGTACTTCCTTCTTGTTTCAGGCTGTTTTCTAGGTGACTTGGGGGTAGAGGACATGAGACTCGGGCAGAGAAAAACAAACCCACTGTAACTTCACCTCTTCCTTACAGAGCTCAGGTACCAGATACGTTTTATTAAAAGGCCTGGTGTGGCCGAAACTGGTTTGGCTCAGTGGATAGAGCGTCAGCCTGTGGACTGAAGGTCCCAGGTTCAATTCCGGTTGCAGGCATGTCCCCAGTAAGGGGTGTGCAGGAGGCGGCTGATGGATGATTCTCTCTTATCGGTGTTTCTAGCTCTCTATCCCTCTCTCTTCTCTGTAAAAAATCAATAAAAATTTTAAAAATAAAATACAAGGCCTGGTCTGCTCCTCCCCCTGGGTTGAATGTATAGTGCAATCCTGACAACCAGGAAGATCAAACATCATTTCTGGACTTCTCAGCCAGCCATTTTTCTGGCCAGCAAACCAATTGAGAGGAATTTACAGAGGTCCCAAGTGGCAGATCCAACCAGGATCCGTCTACTCCAGAAGCACACCTCCTAACTAGGATGCCTTCTACGGATGTTGCCTGTGCTTAGTCTGATGCCAAGCACTGCTAGGTGATGCCACTGAGATGGCTCAGGACTGGTTCCTTTGGTCCAGGAGCCATTAGCCTAGGGGCTGAGGGGTCCACCTGGGTACAGTGACCATGGAGAGGAGGGGCACCTGAAGGGGAAGGTCAGGCAGGCATATGTGCCCTGACAAGGGACTGGTGAGCCCACAAGCTTGGGGATGTGCTTTGACTGGGAATCAAACCAGCAGCTTTTCAGTGCACAGGACTGTGCTCAGCCAACTGAGCCTCACTGGCCCGGCTCAGCAAATATTCCCGAGTCTGCAATTCAGAGCTGTGGGGATTCGTGGTGGATGGCATGGAAACAAGAGCGAGTCAGGGAAGAAAACTTCTCGAGGAGGTGCCGGAGTCAGACCTAAAGAGCTGGGCTTAGCCAGACTTGCCATGTCCTGGATGTCTACCCTCGTCATGCTCAGTGGCGGACGCTAAGAACTCAGAACATGATGGTGCCTGCTGTGGGGCAGGAAGATAACGGGCGAGGCCAAGAGCTGAATCTCTGCGGGCTCCAACTTATTCTGGGCTCTGGGCAGCTGGGGAAGTCCCAGAGCCTTAGCTATGCTGCCCTCTCCCCTGCCCTAACTCTGTTCGGCATGGCCCCAGTGAACCCGGGCCAGGCCTCGGGGTGTCCTCTCTCCAAATTCCAAGTGGATATATATGTGTGTTTTTTGTGTGTTTTTTTTAAAAGTAGGGACAAGAGGGTGCTCATTTGTGACCTAATGCTGGCTACAGGACTTGGGTTTCCAGTAACTTTTATTCCCATCTGGGCACTAGATCCTTTCCACGTGAGGGGGTGATTGGAAGAGGAGAAATCAATCTCTCCTTTAACCAGTGTTTACCCTATCTGTGCTAAGGTTGGGCTAAGCCTTTCCCAGGGTTATCTTGTTTGTCACAGGGTGGGAAAGGCTCCCGCCATTTCCTGGCTGTGCGGTCTTGGGTAATTATCTCTGTTGCTTCTGGTAGCAAGTGGGCAAGATTGGAGTCAAACTAAAATGGTAATCACATGTAAAAAATGGTTTCTCTGGGAGGATGAGGGCCAGTGCTGGGAAGCCGGGGAGGCCAAGGAAATGTTAGTAGGAAGGGGGTGGGGGTGGGAAGAGACGTATGTACTGCTATTGTAATACCTCAAACAATATTATTAAACTATTGTTTTTGTAGGACAAAAATAAATACATAAAGCCCTTAAAAAATGGTTTCTTTGCCTTAAAGGAAAGGGAGGGTTTCAGTGCCCAGGTCACAGTTGAAGGAGGTCTGGATCAGGATGTGAAAGGGGAAGATTAGAAAGATTTAGGAGTGATTATGGGATTTGGTTGAGGGCATGGTCAAGGATGACTCCCAGGTTTTTGGCTTGTGTTATAGGTAGCACAGAAAAATGGACAAACTTTAATTCGTTCCTATTTTTATGATGTTATACATGCAAAAAGTATTATTTTGCATGTATGCAATTTAAAGAATAATAAAATTTATCTATCCTATTATGTCACTTGAGAAAAAGTAGCTACTAAATCATTCTTTTGAAGCCTTTGAACAGCATCCCATTTCTTAAGAGTTTGTTGGATCACTTTGAGGCTTACTTTTTCCCCTAAGGACATTTTTATTTATATGTGGCTTACTTTTTTTTTTTTTTAATATATTTTATTGATTTTTATACAAAGAGGAAGGGAGAGAGATAGAGAGTTAGAAACATAGATGAGAGAGAATCATCGATCAGCTGCCTCTTGCACACCCCCTACTGGGGATGTGCCTGCAACCAAGGTACATGCCCTTGACCGGAATCGAACCCGGGGCCCTTCAGTCCCCAAGCCGACGCTCTATCCATTGAGCCAAACCGGTCCTGGCTATATGTGGCTTACTTTTAAGCTTTTTTTTTTTTTAGACAGGTTCCAAACCTCCTTTTTTCTTTCTTTCTTTCTTTTTTTCTTTTTTTTTTTTTAATACATTTTATTAATTTTTTTTACAGAGAGAAAGAGAGAGGGATAGAGAGTTAGAAACATTGACGAGAGAGTGCTGCCTGAGGTGACAGGAGCCAACAGGCTAGTTTTTTGTTTGTTTTTTTTAAATGTATTTTATTGATTTTTTACAGAGAGGAAGGGAGAGGGATAGAGAACTAGAAACGTCGATGAGAGAGAAACATCGACCAGCTGCCTCTTGCACACCCCCTACCGGGGATGTGCCCGCAACCAAGGTACATGCCCTTGACCAGAATCAAACCCGGGACCTTCCAGTCCGCAGGCTGATGCTCTATCCACTGAGCCAAACCGGTTTCGGCCAAACCTTTTTTTCTAGAGCTATTTTAACCCCACTACTAAGGTAAAACCCTGAGGATTCTGCCTGATCTGTATATTTACATTCTGGCTAGTGGAAACAAGCTTTCCCCAGCCCTGTGTGAGCTCCAGAATTGTACTGCCTACTTCCTTTCAGTGATCTTTCTCTTAGTCTTGGATAACTCTCATGCTTTGTCAGGACTCAAAGACTCATAGGGCCACTTCTCAAGGTCTTTTTTTAATATACATTTTTTATTCATTTCAGAGAGGAAAGGAAAGGGAGAGCGATAGAAACATCTATGATGAGAGAATCATTGATCCATTGCTTCCTGCATGCCCCAATTGGGGATCAAGCCTCCAACCCAGGCATGTGCCCTTGACTGGAATCGAACCCGGTTCCTTTCAGTCCTCAGGCTGACAATCTATCCACTGAGCCAAACCAGCTAGGGCCTCTCAAGATCTTGAGCACACTCTCTGAAAAACTCTATCCCTTCAACTGTTCTGCCTCATAAATTCTAGTCACCTTAGTCTTCTCAAACTTGTCTCCTCAACTCAGACGTCCATGCTCTGTTGCTGGAAATGGAGCATTAAGGAACTCCAGTCCTGCTCTGCACCCACTGGCTGCTGGGCTAGTTTTTCGCCGTGACTGCAGACTGGTGGTTTTCAAAGCTACTATGGAGCTAAAGTAGATGGGAATGGGACATTGTTCTTGATAGTCAACCATTTTTCTTGAATAAATGCTCCCTAGATTGCTGCGAGCCTTTGATTAACTTCCTGAGTTCTGAAAAAGATGATTCTAACAATTTTACCAGTGTTCTCTTTGCTCACATGGAGGAGAAAAATTTTGGAGGTCCCTACTCACCACTTTCACTTTCATTGTGGTTTTAATTTACACTTTTCAAATTGTGAATGGTAATTAGATCTCTTTTCATGTATTTATGGACTATTACATTACTTTTGTGATTGTCCATTTTTTCCATTTAGGTTTTGGTGTATTTTTTTCTCAGTTTTTAAGAGTTTGCCAGTTGTCTTTTGAGTTTATCTACCATCTATCTGTATTTTTAAATCCTCCCCTAAGGATATGTTTTTATTGATTTTTAGAGAGAGAGAAAGGGAGAAACATCGATCCTTTGCTTCCTACATGTACCTGGACTGGGGATTGAACCTGCAACCTAGGTGTGACCGGGAATCAAACCCTCCACCTTTCTGGTGTATAGATGGCACTCCAACCAGTTGAGCCACACCCAACCAGGAGTAGTAGCTATATTTTTTGTCACGTGAAAGCTTTATATTTTCCTGCACTTTTACCAGTTCTCCTCTTTTATTGCACCTGGATTCTTTTTCCTTCCTTTCAACAAACTGATGAAGTGAGCAGGGTGGCCAATTGAGCACAAAGCTGCTCTGGAAGAAGAAAAAGCCTGAGGTCCCAAGGACACTTGCTGTCATGCCAGCGGGCCGTAGTGAGAGCTGGTGGATTAGCTGCAGAAACTTTTCATTCCGATGGGGACCCATTAGTCCTCTTTATCCCCAAATTCCTGTCTGGGCTCGCCTAGTGGGTCAAATTAGAAATCCAACCTAGGGACTCAAGGAGAACTACAGAAGCAGCTCTCTGACTGCTGTGCATGGCCCTGCAGCAGTGGGACCAAACATGGTCAGGAGGTTCACATGCTGAATTGCGTCCAGTAACTACTGGCTCTCAGCAGGTCCCTGGGACCAAGGACACCCTGTGACACTGAGTGCTATTCTGACTCACACCTTCAGTGAAGGTGTAGTCTCTTGGAATCACTAAGAGACCTTTTTTTTTATTATTGATTTTTTACAGAGAGGAAGAGAAAGGGATAGAGAGTTAGAAACATCGATGAGAGAGAATCACCGATCAGCTGCCTCTTGCACACCCCCTACTGGGGATGTGCCCGCAACCAACATACATGCCCTTGACCGGAATCGAACCCGGGACCTTTCAGTCCACAGGCCATCGCTCTATCCACTGAGCCAAACCGGTTTCGGCACTAAGAGACCTTTAGTGGATAGTTGCTTCCATAATGAAAGATACCATTTTGTTAAACTTAGTGACGGATAGCAGTGTCTTTGGGGTACATTACTACAGAAACCCGCTTTCGAAGTAGCCCTGGCAGGGGCTTCTTTGCCCCGGGACGAAGAGGAAGAGGTGGAGGAAGAGGTGAACATCTAAAACCTTCCTCCTCAGTGGGAACTATTTGGTGCTGAAGGTTTGGTTCGTCGTGACAAGTTTCTCGTTCGGACCACACTTGCAGAGGCTCCAACATCCCTGCGGGCCATCCTTGTGGTCCCTGGGGTCTACAGTGTGGGACTGAGAGCAGCAGATGCAAGACTGTTAGCCAGACTCAAGTTTCCAAATTTGTCCCTGCCGGTGCTGGTCACCGGCCCTTTAAACCTCTTCTCAAGGTCAGATAAATTCGTCCAAAACACAGTCCAAGTCTTAACTGACAAATTCCCGGAGATGAAAACAGTGGCAACTGGCAAAATAGCAAAGACTGACCAGGAGAAAGAGCTGCTAAGAGTAATAACTTAGTGCCCTCTCCTGGACAACCTGGGCAAAGGTTTTCCCCAAAAGATCTGAATTTGATTATTGGCAGACAGTCTCAAAGGAGGAGGTTAATAGACCAAGGGATTCAGGGCCAAGTACCAGGCCCTGGGACACTTGATGGGGCTCTCTGTGACCCTAGAGATGAAGCTGAAAGTACTGCCAATTTGCCTGGATCTCAGCATTCTACCTAATAAAAGAATAATATGCAAATTAAGCAACCACTACCCCCACAAACCATGCCCACCAGCCACACCCACCAGCCAATCAGAGCGAGTATGCAAATAAACTCAACCAAGATGGCTAAAGCCACAGAGAGCAGGAGGGAAGGTTGGGTTTCCCAGGCAATGGAGGAAGCCAAGCTTTCCACCTGCCCTTGCCAGCCTAGGCCTCCACTCAAGACTACAGAGTTTCAATTACAGAAGGTAAACAAATCCAAACAGAAATGGCTGCTGGCCACTGAGCTAGCAGGAGGCTTGGCTCCTCTCCAGGCTACAAAGTTTCAATTGTAGAAGGTAAATAAATTCTAGATACCAGGGCTTCTGCTTGGGTTGCCAGGGGGCCTGGCTAGCCTGCAAACTACCATAGGTCCCTCGCTCAGGCTGCCCCATGTCACAAGGGAATACCCACCCTGATCCGGGACACCCTTCAGGACAAACCAGCTGGCTTCCACCTGTGCATCAGGCCTCTATCCTATCTAATAAAAGAGTTATATGCAGATTGACCATCACTTCAACACACAATATGGCTGTCCCCATGTGGTCAAAGATCCTGCCCCCATGTGAACACAAGATGGCCAGCAGGGGAGAGCAGTTGGGAGGCACCAGGCCTGCAAGGGAGGGCAGTTGAGAGGGACCAGGCCTGCAAGGAAGGGCAGTTGGAGGCGATCAACCCTGCAGGGGAGGACAGTTAGAGGTGACCAGGCCAGCAGAGGAGGGAAGTTGGGGGCAAACAGGCTGGCAGGGGAGCAGTTAGACGTCAATCAGGCTGGTGATCAAGTGATCAGGCTGGCAGGCAGAAGCCGTTAGGGGCAATCAGGAAGGCAGGCAGGTGAGCAGTTGGCAACCAGCAGTCCTAGATTGTGAGAGGGATGTCCAATTGATGGTTTAGGCCCGACCCTGCTGGGATCGGGTCTAAATGGGCAGTGAGACATCCCTTTTAAAGCTTTGAGGCGTCCCAGATTGGAGAGGGTTCAGGCTGGGCTGAGGGACACCGCCCCTCCCTCCCCCCGGCCCTGTGCACAAGTTTCGTGCACTAGGCCTCCAGTTCAAACATAAGATTAGGGGTTAGCCTGTGTTCATAGCAGCACAATCTACAATAGCCAGAATTTGGAAACAGCCTAGGTGCCTGTCAGCAGATGATTGGATCCAAAAACTATGGTACATCTACACAATGCAATACTATGCTGCCATAAAAAAGCAGGAATTCTCATCATTTGCAGCAACCTGGATGGAATTGGAGAACATCATGCTGAGTGAAATAAGCCAATCAATGAAAGAGAAACACCACATGACCCCACTCATTTGTGGATAATAAAGATCATTATAAACTGATGAACCAAAAGATAGATATAGAGACAGTAAAGCAACAAGCAGACTGTCAAATTACAGCGGGGAGGGGAGGAGGATCTGGGGGAGATAATAGATCATCCGAAGGACTTGTATACATGCATATAAGTACAACCAATGGGCACAAAACTCTGGGGAGGGAGGGGATGTGTGGGAGGGAGGGAGGGGGGCAAAAAAAAATCAATAAAATATGTAAAAAAATAAATTAATTAAAAAAAAAGATTAGGAGTTAGGCCACTGTTCCTCTGCCCCATGGGGAAGTGGAGATCCTATGCCAATGTCAAGGGCCAATGAGGATGTGAGGGACAAATGCACTTCCTGGGCTTTGGCTGCCTGTGCACAGGTGATTGCGATTCTGAACTCCTGGCTCCAGCATTCAGGAGAAGCAGATAAAGCTCTCTGGTTCTGGATTTGAGGCACTACCACTGGCATCCTTGCCCAAGCCCATTTTGGGCCTTTCCACACCTCCTTTGCTGGGTATGACTCCCAGTGGAATGCATTATTGGTATATATGTATTATCTATGTGCACTGCTACTTGCCTTTGCCCCAAATCTCTGATAAGAACTGCTGCATTTTTTTTTTTTTTGCCCTAACCGGTTTGGCTCAGTGGATAGAGCATCGGCCTGTGGACTGAAGGGTCCCGGGTTCGATTCCGGTCAAGGGCATGTACCTTGGTTGCAGGCACATCCCCAGTAGGGGGCGTGATGAATGTTTCTAACTCTCTATCCCTCTCCCTTTCTCTCTGTAAAAAAAATCAATAAAATATATTTTTTTAAAAAGAAGAAAGAAGAAGAACTGCTGCATTTTAATGGGGTACGTGGATGACCCATGAACCTACCAATTACTTACCAATGGCTAATACTGTTATCTACCCAAAACTATACTGGCTTCTCGGGGGAGAAAAAGCAATAACTGGCCCCCTGCCTGTTTAAATGCTGTCTGGGTCCTTCAAAGACTCGGGGATCTGGCTTCTGGGGTCTTTGTAAGGTGAGTGGGTAGGCCAGGGACAATCTGGAAGGTTGCGGGGCAAATTAAAGATGGGTATTTGTGGTCCATTTCCCTTTTAGAGCTTTGATTGGAAAGAGCTTTCAAAGGGTCCCCCTTGGAAATAAGTCGAATAAATGACATCCATGACTTTACACTGAGTCTGTGGGTGTTTTTTTTTTTTTTTGCCAGCGAGGATACTATACACGCTGGGGGTTGCATAGGAGTCAAAGCCAGACCTAAAAGGCCAGGGCCTGCAAGAGATGGGAGGACTTAGTTGAAGGGAAGATGGCTGAACCCCTCAGAAGCAGTTGTGAAGCCATCTCCAGGCAAAGAAAAACAGGCTGCAGGTGACCCGGCTGCAGGCATGCCAGCAGAAGCAATGAGGAAAAGGGCCCAGGCCCGGTGGGAAAGATAGCTCATTCACCTCTGAGCCAGAACTAGACCCTCCTCCTCAATGTCTCCCTCCCCACCCCAGTATTCTGATAGTATATTGAGCAGATGGAGGGGGGTAGGAGACACTGTCTGTGAGAAGAAATATCTATGAGGTTCAACTTTTTAAAAAATGTTTTTATTGATTTTAGAGGGAGAGGAAAACATTGGTTGGTTGCTTTACCTACACAGCTAGACTGGGATCGAACCCATAACCTGGGCATGTGCCCTAAACGGGAATCGAACCAGTGAGGATCCTACCTAACTCAAAACAGGATGGCACTCAACCAACTGAGCAACAACAGCCAGGGCAGAAGGTTCAATTTTAAAAATATATATTTTATTGTTTTTTTTACAGAGAGGAAGGGAGAAGGATAGTTAGAAACATCGATGGGAGAGAAACATTGTTCAGCTGCCTCCTGCACACCTCCTACTGGGATGTACCCACAACCAAGGTACATACCCTGGACCGGAATTGAACCTGTGACTCTTCAGTTTGCAGGCTGACGCTCTATCCACTGAGCCAAACCAGTTAGGGCAGGAGGTTCAACTTTTGAATAGATGAAATGCTTCTGATTCTATTAAAATGCATACATGTATTTCTTCTATGCTTTAAAAAATTTTATTTGATCTTAAGAGAAAGAAAGAAAGAAAGAAAGGGAGAGGAATAAAGAGAGACATCTTTTTAAATAGTTTTTTAAAAAATATATTTTTATTGATTTCAGCAAGAGAGGGAGAGAGAGATAGAAACATCAATGATCATATGTACGGCGGGGGGGGCATTGGTATATGTACAAAAATAATAATTTAATTAAAAAAATATATTATAAAAAAAAAAGAAACATCAATGATCAGAGAGGATCACTGATTGGCTGTCTCCTGAATGCACCCCATTGGCATCAAGCCCTGAACCTGGGCATGTGTCTGATCCAGGAATCAAACTGGTGACCTCTTGGTTCATGGATCGACAATCAACCACTGAACCGCACCAGCGGGGCTATTTCTTCTATGTTTTAGAAAATAAACAAATAAAAACCTTCAAAGTTTACAAGTGATATTAAGCACCCACAGTGCGGCAGCACGGTGCTAGGTGCTAAGCAAACAAAGGCTTCGTAGGGAGAATCTTGTTTCCTTGGAGACTGACGGATTCAGGTTTAGAGTCAGTGGTGGCTTTTCATGTGCTGCTTTAAGTGATCAGATCGCTTAAAACGCTTGTCGCATATATGACACCGGTGGGGTCGCTCCCCAGTGTGCCTCGATTTGTGTCTGTTGAGCGCATCTAAACGGGTGAATTTCCATGTGCATCCCTTCCACTCGCAATTATAGGGCTTCTCGCCTGGAATCAGAGCAGAAGAGACTTGTCATGCGTCAGGTAGCTTGGTACAAGGAAGTTGAAAGTGAATGGAAAAGAAAAAGGTTTTGAGTATGCTAGTGTGGGAGAGGGAGAGCCAGAGAGGAGACTGTATAGGGTGAGTGAAACACACACACACACACACACACAAATGGCCCGGCTGGGGTGGCTCAGTGGTTGAGCATCAACCTATGAACCAGGAGGTCACGATTCGATTCCTGGTCAGGGCACAGGCCTGGGTGGGGAGCTCGATCCCCAGAGTGGGGGGTACAGAAGGCGACTAACCAATGATTCCCTCTCATCACTGATGTTTCTATCTCTCCCTCTCCCTTCCTCTCTGAAATCAATAACAATATACAATATTTAAAACAACAACAAAACACACACACACACACAAATGGAGGGAGAGTGAAAGAGGAAGAGGAGGGCAGCATGAGTTGGAAGGATGGAAGAAAGCTGTGAAAGAAAGAGAAAAAGAAAAACAGAAGAAGTAGGGGTCAGGAGGATAAGGAGAGATAGGGAGGTGGACAGAGGGGGGTCTGTTGGGTTTGAGAAGAGGTCCATGAAGTGACAGTCCCAGTAGAGGCAGTGCCAAAACCATCCATAAGAGATCAAATCCCTCCACTTATTCCCATCGTTCCAGCACAGGCAGCAACACAAAAGGCTGCAGCCAGGTCTAGAGTCTATCCCTTGGACTGCTGAATCCACCCTTTCAAATCTGCCCACCTTCCCTAGGATGTACTAGGGTCCCAGTCTTTCTTAATTAAAAATATTTTTTAAGGGTGGCGGCAATGGTATATGTACAAAGATAATAATTTAATAAAAAAATAAAATAAAAAAATAAAGCCGAAACCGGTTTGGCTCAGGGGATAGAGAGTCGGTCTGCAGACCGAAAGGTCCCAGGTTCGATTCCAGTCAAGGGCATGTACATTGGTTGCGGGCACATCCCCAGTGGGGGGTGTGCAGGAGGCAGCTGGTCGATATTTCTCTCTCATCGATATTTCTAGCTCTCTATCCCTTTCTCCCTTCCTCTCTGTAAAAAATCAATAAAATATATTTAAAAAAACAAAAACAAAAAACAACCTAACCAATAAATGTTAGTTATTTAAAAAAAATTTTTTTTTAAATTGATTTTAGAGAGATGGAGGGAGGAAGAGATAGAATCATTAATGAGAGAGAAACATGGATCTGCTCCCTCCTGCACACCCCTACTGGGGATTAAGCCTGCAACCCTGACATGTGCCCTGACCAGGAATCAAACTGGTGCACGGGACAACACTCAACCAACTGAACCACACTGGCCAGGCTAGGGTTCCAGTCGTAAAGGGACAACAATTTCAAAAGACCCCAAAACTTTGTAAAGGTGCAATCTTTAGATTACTTGTCACCTTTAACCCTTAATGCTTACTCACCTATGTGGTTGCGATAGTGGATTTGGAGATAGGAGACCTTGGAATATGACTTGTCACAGCCTTCGTACTTGCAAAAGAAGCGCTTTGAAACCTTAAGATTCTTCTTGAACTGACGACTCTGGGTTTTGAGTTCTGACTTCTGCTCTTCTAGGGATTGTCCTTGGGTCAAATGGGAACTTGAACAGTGCGGTAATCCTGGGTTTGGCAATGACGACGATTGACTTGGCTTCATATGGCTTCCATAGAGAGTGTGGTCGTGATTGAAGGCTTTTATCTGTTCCTCCTTAAGGGTCACCATCTGACCCCCATAGAGAGTCTGGTCAGGGCTGTATGTTGTCACCTGGCCTCTAGTGAAGATCTGGTTACCAATGAAGGTCATGGGATAGCCCCCTTTAAGAGCTGCCATCTGGCTCCCGTAGGAGGTCTGGTCCCCACCGAAGGGCATCTGGCCTCCATAACGGGTCTGGTCCCCGCTGAAGGGCATCTGGCCTCCATAACAGGTCTGGTCCCAACCGAAGGGCATCTGGCCTTTATAACGGGTCTGGTCCCCACCGAAGGGCATCTGGCCTCCATAACGGGTCTGGTCCCCGCCGAAGGGCATCTGGCCTCCATAATGAATCTGGTCTCCACTAAAGGTGATTTGGCATCCAAAACGGGTCTGGTCCCCACTGAAGGTGATCTGGCCTTCATAATGGGTATGGTCCCCACCTAAGCGTATCTGGCATCCATAACGGGTCTGGTCCCCACCTAAGAGCTTCTGGCCTCCATAGACAGTCTGTCCATCACTGAGGGTCACCATCTGGCTACCTTCTTTGGAGACTGTCATGTTATTTGCAGTGATGGTTGTCTTTTGGCAATCAGTGAACAACGTCTTTGGGTTGTCAGTAACACCCATCATCGAGGAGGTTGCTGTGGGTTTTCTCTGATCAAAGGAGGTCACCTTCTGGTCCACGGAGGCAGTTTCACTTAGTTCTCCAGTGGGCATGCCAAAGGCATTGACAGGGGACATTGTTGAGTTCTGGTCAAGGACTGTCTCGGGGATATTAGAATCTGCAGAAATCATAGGAGTCGTCACCTGGCTCTGAATGGACTCATGTTGGCTCTCATCACCACAGCCAGTCAAAGGCACAGAGCTCTGTGGCTCTGGTGCAGCTGGAGTTCTTGACTCAAGTCTCTCATAGTATTCCTCCAGGAACTCCTCAATTTCCTGAGGTAAAGAGTGAGTGTCTTCGCAGTTGCCTGATAACTGAACTAGATCTTCACCTGTGGGGTCCTGCAAAAAGTTACAAGTTCAGGGATCCTACCTGACTCAAATCCCAATCCCACATAACCCTTCCTTTCCATCCCTGCTGACCCTATCCTAGTCTAGCCACCATCATCTTTTGCCTAAAAGCCTGCATTTGCCTGGGTTTGGAATTGGCTCTGTCCAGTGTACCCATCCCCCCCACACACCCAATCCCCTCCACAGTCAGAATAACATTCCTAAAATGTAAACTCCTATTGTGCTTCTCCTACTTATCAGTGGAGATAGGAATCTACGGTAGATGAATGCTCGAATATCCCATAATCCCCTGTGAGAGATGTTGCCGAGACTTTCCCAAAGATGCCCTGCCTCCCAGAAATGGTACTGCAAATGGGTTACGTTAATGAACTTTCAAACGTGTAACCTCATTTCATTCCCACCAGGACATTAGAAGATAGGATCCACGGTTAATCCCATTTCACAGATCCAGGGAAGGGAAGTTACTTGACCCTAGGGGAAGACTCTTTAACTAGAATTGGACCTGCCTGGCTCAGGGTGCTCACAGACCTGCACCCACTGTGGACATTTTCCTCAGAGACCTCCCTGGGTATTCCCAGGGATCTTAGGAAGGATGCAAAAAGGGAGCCCTTGTGCACTGTTGGAAATGTAAGTTGGTACGTGAAGTATGGGAGTTCCTAAAAGAATAAATAAGAGAACTGCCATATGATCCAGTCATTCCACTTCTGGGCATTTATCCGAAGGAAATGAATTCAGTATACTGAAGAGAGAGCTAAACACCCATGTTCTCTGTAGCATTATTTACAGTAGCTAAGGTATGAAAACAGCCTAAGTGTCTGTTAATGATGAATAGATTTTAAAAAATGTGGTTACAACCAAGAGTTCTCTACCCAGCCAAGCTGACATTCAGAATTGAAGGTCAGCTAAAGAGGTTCACAGATAAGAAAAAGCTAAAAGAGTTCATCAACACCAAACCAGTATTATATGAAATGCTGAAAGGTATTCTTTAAGAAGAGGAAGAAAAAGGTAAAGATAAAAATTATGACCAAAAAATACCATATATATCAACAAGTGAATTAAAAATCTGATGTACAGAATAAACTGGTGAATATAATAGAATCGGGGGCATAGAAAGGGAGTGGACTGACAACTCTCAGGGGGAAAGGGGAACAACTGTAATAATCTGAACAATAAAGATTATTAAATAAATAAATAAATAAATAAAAAATAAATAAAGTGGTATATGTATAATGGAATGTTATTCAGCCATGCACAGAAAAGAACCCCTGTCGTTTGCGATAACATGGATGAACCTGGGGGCATTATGATATATGAAATAAGTCAGACAGAGCAAGTCAAATACTATATTGTATATGTGGAATATAGAATAAAAGCCGAGGAGGAAATAAAGGAAACAGCTGTAATACTTTCAACAATAAAGCTAAATTTTAAAGAAGTTGAACCCAGAATCAAAGAGTAGAATGGGGGAGGGGGAGTGTGGAGAAATGGAAAATGTTGGTGGGAGGGGAAGAGAGAGAGAGAGAGAGAGAGAGAGAGAGAGAGAGAATATATCATTGATTGCCTGCCTCCTGTCTACCCCCTACTGGGGATGGAGCCCACAGCCCAGCATGTGTTCTGACCAGGAATCTAACCGTGACCTCCAGGTTCACAGGCCCACGCTCACCTACGGACCGACGCCCGCCAGGCCACCTGTAAGTTTCCGGCCTCCCACCCCAAGACCCGGACTCCTGCCCCGTATTGGAAGGCAGGCAGACTCACCATCGTTCACCGCGCGTGCGGCCGGGGGCCGGGAGCCGCTGTCTGGAGGCAGGACCGTCCGGAGGGAAGGCTGAGCCGGCGAGCAGCAGCTGCGTGCAGGGCCTGGCCTCTTATGGAGGCGAAGCCAGATGCGCGGGAAGGACACCCTGTGCGCCCCGCCTGCGGGGCGGAGCCAGGCGCCCGCTGTAATCCTGTCTGCTCCGCACACACGTGGATAGGATTGCCAACCGCAATCACTTCCCGTGTTCGATCACTTCCCGTGTTCGATCAATGCCCATGTTCAATCAATCACTTCCCGTGTCCCCGCTGTGCCCGTTTCTTCGTCAACACGGTTCCATGTTACAGGTATCAGACGGTGCAGACACAGGCCCAGAGAGGTTAATCTGCCCGAGATTAAACACACGCGAGACCTCAACAGCCAATCAGCTGGTCATGCCACAGTTTGTAAATTTAATCCAATTTCTTCTATGCTCAAATCTTATCAGGTACCTGGAAATGGTAACGACATTTTTTTTTTTAATCCTCTCTCGGGGCTGTGTTTAGAGAGAGGGAGGGAGGGAAGAAGGGAGGGAAAAACGACGGGAGAAAGAGGAAGAGAGAGAGAGAGAAAGAGGAAGAGAGAGAGAGAGAAAGAGGAAGAGACAGAGAGAGAAAGACGAAGAGAGAGAGAGGGAGAGAGAGAAACCTCAATTGGTTGCCTTCTGTACATGCTCCCACCGGGGACTGACCCCAAAGACCAGGCATTCACCCTGACTAGGAATCAAACCAGCTAATGGGTGCTCAGGATGATGTTCAACCAACAGAGCCAGTCTGCCTGGATGGTAATGGCATATTTTTTATTTTATTTTATTTTTAAATTCATTTTATTTATTTATTTATTTATTTATTTATTTATTTATTTATTTTCCAGAGAGGGAGAGGGATAGAGAGTTAGAAACATTGACGAGAGAGAAATATTAATCAACTGCCTTCTGTACATCCATCCCCCCCACTCCCCCACTGGGGATGTGCCCACAACCAAGGTACATGCCCTTGACTGGAATGGAACCTGGGACCCTTAAGTCTGCAGGCCAACGCTCTATCCCCTGAGCCAAACCAGTTCGGGCGGTAATGGCATATTTTGATGCTCATCCCTCTCCCCCACCCCAAGCAGGGGGGCACACTTCCATCCTGCTCTGGTCTTGGTTGGGTCCCGTCACCTATGGCCTACCCGGGACCAACAAGCCTGGGGCTTTAGCGATCCGTAGAAAGACCAGTCTTTAGTTTAGAGTCTCTGCCAGCCTCTGTTCTCTGCAATTTTGTTTGTTCGGTTTGGTTTTCTGTTTGTTAGCTGAGGACCACTGCTGATGGAGTTTGAATTCATGGGAGCGCACGAGCCTTTGAGTGTGAACGTGTGCGTCATTGGGAGCCGAGCTGCTTTCACGCACTTCAGGGGCGGAAATGCAACAGGAGAGCCTGGCATTGGCGCCATTGCTGGAGGTAGGGCTGCCGAGCTAGCTGAAGGCTGAGGCTCCAAATGTCCCACGACTAACCTGATCCCGTGTTTATTTTTACCTGAAAAATGTCCCTTCTGGTCACTAAAGACATTTTCACAATGAAAATGTACATTTTCACTATTCCTGTGTACTCCCATTTGTTAAATTTGAATCTATCCATGTTGTTGTTAACAGCCAGAGTAGAATAAATACATACTTGGTGGTAGTGTCAAATTATGTTTCCACAATGTGTGTGTTTATTTTTCTTGTCTTTGGTGAGTGTGTTTATTGTAATGCTAGGGGCCCATGCCCCTTCACCTCAGGCCCAGGATGGGCTGTGAGCTGAGGCCAGGGGCTCCACACCCTGGCTTCTGCTCCGAGCTGCCTTGTCCGCATCTCCAGTTGCCTTGTTCTCCGCGCACTCAGACGGAGCTGTTACCCTGAGATAAATGAATCATCCAGACTGTTTCTCACCCCGCCCCCCGCCCCTCCATCCCCAAGCAACCACCCATGTACTTCCTTTCACTATTCCGTGTATGGACATGACAAAGCATAGTGTTTTATAGGGTGTTGAATTTGTGTAAAGGGCATCGTTCAGCACTTATTCTGAAACGTGCCCTTTCTCATGGGATGTCCGCCTTGAGGATTCTCCAGGCGGACAGAGAAGCAGTGTGCTCCTTCTAGCGACTGCTTTCCCCTCGTGTGAGCCAGGGAATGACGAGGGGCCACCCAAGAGGACTCTGTGTCCCAGAAGAGACTGACTTTTTCGATTCGGAAGCAGGGCGAGGGAATGCAGCCTTGGTGTGAGCAAGCCCCAGGGCCAAGGAAACAGCTCCTTTCCAGGTTCCCTTCGAGTAAGTTGGGAAATTACTTTAAATAAGGCAGGCTAGTTGATCTTTTCAACCCCCCCCCCCCCCCAAAGTCAAACGTTTTCTGCATTTTATTTTATTGATTTTTTTACAGAGAGGAAGAGAGAGGGATAGAGAGCCAGAAGCATCGAGGAGAGAGAAACATTGACCAGCTGCCTCCTGCACACCCCCCACCGGGGATGTGCCCGCAACCAAGGTACATGCCCTTGACCAGAATCGAACCTGGGACCTTTCAGTCCGCAGGCAAACGCTCTATCCACTGAGCCAAACCGGTTAGGGCTAGTTGATCTTCTTATCAGCGTTCAAAATAAAGGGCTTCAGCCTCTCAAATCCAGTGTCGCTGACTGAATTTATGTTGATGGGTGAAAGAAATGTAGTAAAGTTAAACAGATTAAAGAAATTAGTCACTAGTGGTCGGAATCTTATGGTGGTTTTCTATTTGAAAAACCAACAACCACAGGCTTGCCAACTGAAAAAAATTAAGTTGGATTAGAATGAATTGTAACACTTTGGTTAAAAGGTAAATATTACACTGTATTAAAATTTAGAACTTCATGGAAATAACTATGTAAACAACCAAGTTACTGGAAATGTTAGATAGTTTTCCTCTAACAGAAATTCCTGTGGCTCTAGTATCCTCGCTGAGTTGAAGTAATGAATGAAGACATGCCTTGGCCAGAGTGGCTCCAGGGCACCAAAAGGTTGCTGGTTCGATTCCCAGTCCAGGCACGTACCAAGGTTGTGGGATCGATCCCCCAGTTGGGGTTCATACATTGATGCTTCTCTCTCTTTTTCTCTCCCTTCCTCTCTCTCCAAAATTAACTAAAAGAACAAATTTTTAAAAAAAATATATTTTATTGATTTTGTACAGAGAAGAAGGGAGAGAGATAGAGAGTTAGAAACATCGATGAGAGAGAGTCATTGATCAGCTGCCTCTTGCACACCCCCTACTGGGGATAT